TAAAGAGTTTTTATGAGGATAGTGAGGCTCGGGTTAGGGTGTGTAGAAGAGAGGGAGACTACTTCCCGGTTAAAAGTAGGTCTTAGACGGGATGTGTAATGTCACCATGGTTGTTTAATATAAATTTTTAGATGGGGTTGTTAAGGAAGTAAAAGCTAGGGTGTTCGGGAAGAGGGGTGGGATTAAATTTGGGGAATCAAATTCAAAATGGGAATTGACACAGTTACTTTTTGCTGATGATACTGTGCTTATGGGAGATTCAAAAGAAAAATTGCAAAGGTTAGTGGATGAGTTTGGGAATGTGTGTAAAGGTAGAAAGTTGAAAGTGAACATAGAAAAGAGTAAGGTGATGAGGGTGTCAAATGATTTAGATAAAGAAAATTGGATATCAAATTGGGGAGGAGGAGTATGGAAGAAGTGAATGTTTTCAGATACTTGGGAGTTGACGTGTCGGCGGATGGATTTATGAAGGATGAGGTTAATCTAGAATTGATGAGGGAAAAAAGGTGAGTGGTGCGTTGAGGTATATGTGGAGTCAAAAAAAGTTATCTATGGAGGCAAAGGAAGGGGAAAGTATGAAAGTATAGTGTACCCAAAACTCTTATATGGGTGTGAAGCTTTGGGGGGTAAATGCAGCAGCGAGAGACGGTTGGAGGCAGTGAGATGTCCCGTTTAAGGGCAATGTGTGGGGGTAAATATTATGCAGAAAAATTCGGAGTGTGGGGAAATTAGGAAAAGGTGTGGAGTTAATAAAAGTATTAGTCAGAGGGCAGAAGAAGGGGTTGTTGAGGTGGTTTGGTCATTTAGAGAGAATGGATCAAAGTAGAATGACATGGAAAGCATATAAATCTATAGGGGAAGGAAGGCGGGGTAGGGGGTCGTCCTCGAAAGGGTTGGAGAGAGGGGGTAAAAGGAGGTTTTGTGGGCAAGGGGCTTGGACTTCCGCAAGCGTGCGTGAGCGTGTTAGATAGGAGTGAATGAGAGATGGGACTTGGGACCTGACGATCTGTTGGGGTGTGAGCAGGTAATATTTAGTGAAGGGATTCAGGGAAACGGTTTTTTTTTCATATAGTCGGGGTTGGTCCCGGGAAAAAGGGAAATACAATGCCTGCATTTAAAGGAGGGGGTTTGGGGATTGGGAGTTTGGGGGTATTTTTGTATCTTTTAGTGATGCTTTAGGGGCTGTTGTATTTTAGCACCCCTCAAAAAAAAAGTGATAATGTCGAGTGTGGTAAAGTGTTGAATGATGATGAAAGTATTTTCTTTTTTTGGGGGTTTTCTTTTTTTTTTGGGTCCCCTGCCTGGTGGAGAGGCCCCATTTTTGAAAAAAAAAAAAAAAAAAAAAAAAAAAAATAATAATAATTAAAAATCTTTTTTTTACATGTACAAGGTTACCGGCCACTGACATAGTGACATAAATTTCAGAAAGGTTGTTATGTGAACTTTTTGGGGAAAATTTGGCAGCTTTGTCCCCGGGTGGACCCCCACCGTCACTAACACCCCGGTACCCATTTTTTATGTGGGAAAATTATACTATGGGGAAATAAGTAGTGGAGGCAGGATCCCTACACAGCTTTAAGAAAAGGTTTTGATAAATGTGGAGAGGAAAAGTGAGCATGGCAACCCTGAAAGGTGGGGCCAGGAGCTAGACTCGAGCCCCAAACCACAAAAGGGGAGTACAACTAGGGGGAGGGGAGCGGTGTTTAGGGGAAAAACCCCAATTTTTTTCCACTGTACCGGAGGGGGAAATTTGAACTCCAGACCCCAGTGTGTGAGCTGAGTGTGCTAGCAATCAAGCTACGGGCCCGTTGTTGAAAAAAAAAAAAAATTTTCCCCCATGTGCGGGAAATTTTTGTGTAAAGCTAAAAATTTTTTAAATAACAAACAAAAACTTAATCATGAAAATGTGTATTCAGATAAAAATATTTAATCTCTGAAAGTAGTATTAGGCCCTAACAAAAGGGTTTTTAAAGATGCCCTAAAAAAGTAATGTTTAAGCTCATAGCACATGAGAATGAGCGAAGGTCTCACTTAAATGTCCAAACACTTCTATTTTATAACAACTCTATTGTTATTCTAAGAATTCCCATGAGAACATTTTGATGACATCTTGTATGGCATTATCAGCCTTGTCTACTATTAAATTTTTTCTTTTAAACCTGCCACTGGGCAGGAAGATACACAATTTAATTAGAGATTTTCTCCATTTCTGGTATAGGGACAGTACATAAAATTTAAATGGAGACATATCTGGGGACTGAACATTTCTAGAGAGATGGTCAGATTTAAAATAATTATTTTTCTTAATTTCAGCTTCATTTCCTTTCTTGGAGTACAGTCACTGCTAAAAGGGGAACTGCCTTTCAAATCAACAAGATTTGCAGGGAAAGTGAATGCCACTGAAATATTTAAACATTTAAATTAATTAAAACAGCATAATAATAAAATAATATAATAATAACTGATATTTTGAGGAACTGTTAAATGCTGATGAATATAACAATTTAATTATTAAATTTAGCTAGCAGTATCTGACCTGAAGGGTAATTCCCTCTACCTACGGGTTAATTCATATGCAACACATTAAAATAACTAATTTAGGGGGGAGGGGGGTAGACTGTTGGCAACTCTTTTTTTAATACATTATCCATCTCCCCCCAAAGTTGAGTGACCCAAAAAAAAAGAGGAAACACTTTCATCATCAATCATTCAATAAGGTCTTACCAGAAGCATTATTACTATTTATCATCATAAAGGGGAGTGGTAATTCAAGTGTCATTAATTGGTTCAAGGTTAAATAATGCTGGGATTCATGCAATAAGGATAACTAAGTGGAAATTGGTCACACTTTGGTGTTGATAGGAGTTACTGAAGTGGCAGGATTGGTAACATTTTTCTTCAACGAGTGGATGGACTGACGAAAGGGAGCCTTTGTGACACATTTACTGGGGTTGTGGTGTCCCGCCTGCAAGCCTGAAAATTATATAAAACTACATCTTCTTCTTTCAAGTACCAGCTGTTTTTCCCACGAGGCGGGTTTGGCCCAAAAATTATATACAGGAGAAAGAGTTACTAGCATTTGCTCCAGGCATTTTAGTCACCTCTTACAACACGCATGGCTTCGGAGGAAGATTCTGTTCACTTCCCCATGGAGATAACAGGAAATAAACAAGAACAAGAACTAGAAAGAAAATAGAAGAAAACCCAGAGGGGTGTGATTGGTGGAGAATTTGGTAGGGTGTGCAAAAGAAGAAAATTAAAGGTGAATACAGGAAAGGAGTAAGGTTATGAGGATAACAAAAAGTTAGGTGATGAAAGATTGAATTTTCAAGAGTGGAGGGAGAAAAGTATGGAGGATGGTAAATCGTATTCAGATATTTGGGAGTGAGACGTTTTGGTCAGCGGATGGGTCTATGAAAGATGAGGTGAATCATAGAATTGATGAGGGAAAAAGAGTGAGTGGTGCACTTAGGAGTATGTGGAGACAAAGAACTTTGTCCTTGGAGGCAAAAGAGGGGAATGTATGAGATATAGTTTTCCCAACGCTCTTATATGGGTGTGAAGCGTGGGTGATGAATGTTGACAGGAGGAAGGTGGAGCAGTGGAGATGTCATGTTTTGAGGGCAATGTGTGGTGTGAATATAATGAAAGAGAATTAGTAGTTTGGAAGTTAGGAGGAGTGCGGGATTACCAAAACTGTTGTCCAGAGGGCTGAGGAGGGTTGTTGAGGTGGTTCGGACATGTAGAGAGAATTTGGAGCGAACAGATATGACTTCAAGAGTGTATCGGGTCTGTAGTTGGAAGGAAGGCGGGGTAGGGGTCGGCCTAGGAAGGGTTGGAGGGAGGGGGTAAAGGAGGTTTTGTGTGCGAGGGGCTTGGATTCCAGAGGCATGCGTGAGCTGTTTTGATAGGAGTGAATGTGGAGACAAATGGTTTTTTAATACTTGAGTGCGGGTTGGATTTTGTGAGGCAAAGTAAACATTTAGAAGGGATCAGGAAATCCGGCAGGCCGGACTTGAGTTCTGGAAGATGGGAATTTACAGTGCCTGCATTTCTGAAGGAGGGTGTTAATGTTGCAGTTTAAAACTGTAGTGGTAAAGCACCCTTCTGGCAAGACAGTGATGGAGTGTGAATGTGGTGAAAGTTTTTCTTTTCGGGCCACCCTGCCTTGGTGGGAATCGGCCGGTGTGATAATAAAAAAAAAAAAAAAAAAAACATGTATGTAAAGGGTGACCTAAGTGTAAGTAGAAGTACAATACGTACCTGAAATCTTGCATGTTTATGAGACAGAAAAAAGGACAGCAATCCTACCTACATCACGTAAAACAATTACAGGCATTTCGTTTTTACACTTACTTGGCAGGACGGTAGTACCTCCCTGGGTGGCTGCTGTCTACCACCTACTACCTAGGTAAAACATACAACAAACCAACTATATACAGTATAACGGGTACAGGTAGTAGGTTGGTAGGCAGCAATAACCCAGGGAGATACTGTTGTCCTGTCAATGTGTGTGAAAAGGAAACCTGTAATTATTCTACACAATGGTATGATTACTGGTGTCTTTTCTTGTCTCATAAACATGCAAGATAACATGTGCATCTTGCTACTTCTACTTACACTTAGATCAAACTACAAATGCATGTACATGTATACGCTCATCTGAGTTTTCTTCTATTTTTCTTAGTAGTTCTTGTTTTTATTTGTTCCCCTTTCATCTCCATGGGAAATTGGCAAAGAATCCTTTCTCAATAAGACATGTGTGTTATTGTTTTTAATGGCTTTATCAAGCGGTTACAAACAATACAAGGACACAGAGGATGAATAATATAAAGTGTCAAATGATGGTGAAAGTGCTTATCTTTTTTAGGTCACCCTGCCTCGGTGTCCTTGTATTTTTTGTAACAGCTTGACATAGCTCCTGGTAAGTGAAGCGTTGCTACAGTGAAATGTCACATTAGTTGCATTTGTGTCCTTTTTACCTAACACATTGCTTTTACCAACATTATTACAGTAGTTTTCCATAAGCTACAGTAAAAATTAACCAAGGATTTTAATTTCAAAATATGCATGTAGAGGTAGAAGCTAGGACAATAAGCAGTTATATGCAGGTGTGTTATTGAAATCGAGTAAGTGGAGGCAAGTAGTTTAGTGGGATTTGACATGCAGTTGGTACATGAGCTAGATAATGTCTAGAAATTTGGAAAACACTTGAGTTACCTGAGAAAAAAAGCGACTAACAGAGCGGTTTCTGAGCGATGCTTGTCGTATGCTCACCACACTGGAGGTACTTTTTATCACTTACAGAGTGGCTGTTGAGAGTGCTGTTGCTATCTTCTGATTTCTAGAAAGCAAGACAATGAAGGTAATTTTTGTGACATTTAAAATGGGTAAAAAATATCGACAAGGTGATGATTAAAACATGTGCAACAGTTGGGTATCTTTATTGATGAAACTAATACACCTGCTGTCTCTGTGTTTGACTGAAGAAGTCTACTGTACAGGCAAAACATTTCAACAATAAAGATACCCAAGTGTTGTACACGTGTCTTTATCATAAAATTTTGTGACCTTTTAAAATATTATTGTACTAAAACATTGACAAATAACACCTAATTTCTCTACTTCTTTAAGGATTTTCACTTCTGCAAATATTTTCATTTCTTTTAAAAATATATAAAATATTATTCTCATGTCAAGAAATTTTTTTAAGTAAATGTATCTTTCTACAGCCCTAAACAACTTGATAAAAATTTTATTAAAATTCTAAATTCTAAGATTTATTACCAAAAATTTAATTTAATTCAATGAACTGACTTCAAGGGAAATAACTAAATACCTAATATCATACACTGCAGGCACATTACTGTACATATATAAACTAGAAGTGGTTAGTTCATCTACCTAATGATTAAAACAGGTTAGCCAGACTTGTGTCCCGGAGGTGGGAAGTACTGTGCCTGCACTCTAAAGGAGGGTTTTAGGACATTTCACATTGAGAGGGACATCTGAACTGTCGTATCTGTGTGCCTGCCTCTGGCAAGAGTGATAATGTGAATGATGGTGAAAGTGTTTTATTTTCAGGTCAACCTGTCTCGGTGGGAGATGGCCAGCATGTTTAAAAAGAAAATATTCCCATTAATTATATTATTTCAAAGGGAAGAGTAATTTTCTTGGAAAAAAAAAACATAACTTACAAATGAAAGATGTGAAGTGAGGGAGAGAATCTGACCAGGAGTTCGTATGTAATTCAATCCTGACCTAGAGGCTGTCGGTGTTCCAGATGAAATATCTGAAAATTTTTAGCCAAAAATTATTTACAGTTCTTAAAATTTGACACTTACCACATCTCCCACTTTTGTCCCTTGAGGTTACCAAGTAGCATTTAAAAATTGAACACTGGTTTGGCTTCAATGGAATTAGCTGGAAAACTGTTCCCTAGGATAACTGTTCTCTGAAATGAGTGATAATCAGGTTGGATACAGCCCTTCACCAGCACAAAGGCATCCTCCCTTTGAAAAAAGAAACTGAACGTAGGAGGAGAGTTTGGAAGTAAAGAATTGTGCCTAAAGAATTATGCCACACAATTAAACAGTGAGGTGAGAGAACACCAATAGACCAGGTCTTACAGAACCTTGGCTGATGTTTTGATTGTCAAGTTCCAATAATCAAACATTTATTAATCATATCAGGAAAAAAAAAACTCTAGGTAGTAGGTTGGTAGACAGCAACAGCCTAGGGAGGTACTACCGTCCTGCCAAGTGAGTGTAAAATGGAAACCTGTAATTGTTTTACATGATGGTAGGACTACTGGTGTCTTTTTTCTGTCTCATAAACATGCAAGATTTCGGGTACATCTTGCTGCTTCTACTTACACCTAGGTCACACTACACATACATGTACAAACATATACTATATACACACCCCTCTGGGTTTTCTTCTATTTTCTTTCTAGTTCTTGTTCTTGTTTATTTCCTGTTATCTCCATGGGGAAGTGGAACAGAATTCTTCCTCCAAAAGCCATGCGTGTTATAAGAGGCGACTAAAATGCCAGGAGCAAGAGGCTAGTAACCCCTTCTCCTGTATAAATTACTAAATTTTAAAAGAGAAACTTTCGTTTTTCTTTTTGGGCCACCCTACCTCGGCGGGATATGGCCAGTTTGTTGAAAGAAGAAAGATCAGGCAAACATGTAATGCTGAGAAAATATAATCTGCTGACACAGGAAAGCTTATTCATATTGGACTGGCATAGATGATAGTGGTGGTCTTAGTTCACTGGAAAAAACAGACATGACAAAATGAGTGTTTGTGTATTCTCAGAACCACAAGCACTTTAACCCCTTCAGGGTCCAAGGCCAAAATCTGAAGTGGTGCTCCAGTGTCCAAGAAATTTTGAAAAAAAAAAAAAAAAAAAATATTTTTTCTTAAAGAATTAAAGAGCATATTTTTGTGAAGGTAATAAGACAAAAAAAAAATTCTGATCAGTACTTACCGAGATACAGTGCTAAGAAGTTTGTCAAAAATGACGTGGTGGCGGCAACATCGGCAAATTCCACATACGCGCATTACATTATTTAGCGGTTTTTTAAGTTTTTTCTTTTCTTTTCCAATTTTTTTCTATTCCTACTAACATTTGGGGCCTGAGAGACCAATACTGTATATTAATGTTATATATCAACTCACGGTATTGAAACACAATAACCCCCACTTCTCTCACTAAAGTTATCATTTATTGTTTACCATGTGTTTATTACATTAACATGCACAAATCTTGTATAATACTATGTTATATCATATATTTACTTATTGACAATCACTGGACATGGTTTCGAACATGCTGGAGCTTGTGGAACTCCTTGATACAAGGCACCATGCACAGACGGCACCTTACATTCACCCTCACACAATAAACCGAGTGTCTTTGCGTCTTTGTTGCCGTCGTTTTGGTTTGTGCACGAGATGATGCATCTTTCTGAGTCAAATTTCTTCTGAGTTGAAGGAAGCTGTATTATGAAATGAATTCAATTTCCCTCTCAACGACTTGGTTTAATCCTGAGTAATTCGAGGTCCTTGTTTGTATAGCAGGGTTCTTACCTGGTACTTCATTATGAGTTGTTCTGACAAAGACAAACAAAATTCACCATACGGTGGTCTGTTGCAGTCTTTATTGGTACATATTATATGCATTGAGCATAGAAATGCCATGAGGATGGAAGACAAGTTTCATGTTAACCACTTGTTAACTCTTACGGAACACAGTCAACAAAACTCATTCTGCATGTCACATTTGTCAACAAAGCGCTGTTTTGGTATAATCATCACTGTCACGGTTTTTCGAAACGTTCATTAGTCTTCGATCAACTTTTGCCACTGTCTTGCATTTCATTACGGGAAATGGTGTTAACAATGTGACATCTCGTTTGTCATGCCACCGTAATGCCATGATGTCATTGGCAGTAAACACTGCACGTCGATCACCCACGAGCACCTGCGTTGTTAAGCTCTGGCATATGTTTTTCAATTTAGAACGCACTGTGCCCAACATCTGTCTTGTTCTCTCGCATGAACATCACTTGATGTAATGGGCTTGTGTCCAGTTATCGGTATATAATGTATGCCTTACCAAAGATAAGGTTCATTCCATGTTTCTCACTACGTCACCTGAGATACCCAAATAACTCTTGGTATCTTTCAATGTTTTACTTCGTGTATACAATCAATATCCAACACCAGGCCACTGTCACCAGTCAAGAGTACAAACAGTTTTTTACAAAGCTGTTTCCTCTTGACTCGGTATATATGCTTGATGACTCGTCTACCTTTGACAACATCAAAGGACTTGTCAATTACAAGATTCTTGAATGGATAAAAGTATATGCTGAACTTTTATTTGGAGATACATGAAAACATTTCTATTCTGTATAAACCTGTCATTCTGGTCCGCTGGGTTTTGTCAGAGAAGTGCAACCTACGTAAGGGAGTAAGATAAACTGTTCATGGTACGGATTTCACTGATGGACCGGGGTGGTAGAAATTAGTGATTGTGGACCAGTATGCTTTTATATTATGCTTATAGACATGAGGCATAAGCTTTATTGTTGCAAAAAGCAATAATACATTTTGCAACAGTCATCTTCTTTCCACATGTGTATTCTTGGACTGTGGTGATATGATCGGATTTGCATGGTGTACTCAAAATACTTATTTTACTTTCACTGACATTAGTTTAAATCAATTTGTGGTCATAAGAAAATTCAAAGAAATTCCAGTTTTCATTGGCCGTTCCCCTGGTTCCACAGGGGTAAAGTAGGTTAGAATTCCTCTTTGAGAGTCATCAAATGGTGAGGCTTGGGAAACAATTGGGATTTTTGCTTGCCAATCCCACATACGGTTTGCTGGTGGATACTGGACATCTAGGATGGTTGTGCGGTGGTTGTGGTTGTGGTGGGTGGTGGCTGGACGCTCTGCTTCGGTCCTTGAAACTGTCGAGTCAGCAGCATGGGGTCCCAGCGTGGGCTGGTGTGTAACGCCATGCGCGGGGGCCACTCCATACCACTACCACCTTCTCTGATGCCAGTGTATATCAATGCCAAGTGTAGCACTCATCCTCACTATCACTTCCTAAATACTGGTGTAGGGCACGGGATATGTATCTCGGGATTGTACTCCGTCCCCTGGGCACAGCATTGGGTACACTACCCAGGCGCATGTCGGCGGCGAAACATACGACGCTTCAATGGGTGAATATGATTCCCACTTTCATACTCGAGATGATCGTTGCAAGATGCAATAAAATCACAAACCTCGTCACTATTCATCATCATTACTGAAGGTCAAGGCTGGCCACGCGCAAATATTAGCTTCTCTTGCGTTGGGGAACAACCGACCGTGAGCCACGGACGTGCCCACACCAGAGGTATGAAGGTTGAGGATCGTCAGGGTGTTTTCTGCACTATTATCGATATACTGGTCATTTTTTCGGTCACTACTGATCAAAGCCGTAGAATTCGTCTTCATATCCACTTCCATCAGTGGTCAGAACTATCAGATAGGAAGAGGAGAGTCCCAATTTTCGCGGGCAGTGAGAGCTGACTTGCGAGAGGCATGGTGTGACAAGGGTAACTGAGCGGCGTTCCCCACAAGGCTATGAGGGCGCCTAGATTGTTTTGTTTATGGCGCACACCACCACGCAGACCCGTTCTCCACATGTTGGCCTAAGAGTGCTTTCGGCGCTAAATTTCGACGGCGCTAGAATTTGGCATAGATCTACGTTTGGACACTCAACGTGAAGCCGTTAGATCTACAGGACGGACCTGATAGGGTTAATTGGTTACATAATGGGAAATGTTTTTCATAGTGTATAAGCATTTTTGAAGCATGAGTACTCTTCTCTATGAAGAGGGAAAACACAATGCAAAATTGTCTTACTTTGTAAAATCTGAGTACACCTACCATCCCGACTTACGGACAGAGTTCGGTTCTGAGAAAACCGTCGTAAGTCGAAATGACCTAAGTCGAAATTCTACTACTGATATCCAACATCCACATTTTTTGTAATGACTTTAATTCTTATTGTTTTTATTTTGGTATTTCATGTTTTACTTTAACTTTTTTGCTGCTAGTACTGTATTTTATTACTGATAAGGTTTAGGATTAACACTGTGTACAACACTAATAGTTGTTTATTTCCCAGAATATTTGGGCAAAAAAAATAATCACGGGTCGTAAGTCGAGCAGGTAGTAAGTCGGATGGTAGGTGTATTTAAACCTAACGTTCTTGATAGAAATATATATATTAATACTGGTATGCTGATGAAACTATGTATCTTATTTTCCTGTACACAGTACCATACCTCAAAACAAACGTGTTAATTTTGGAAGGCAATAAAATGCAAATAAATAGCATTCATTCACCTTTGTGAAGAGTAATTTTGCTTAGTCCAAAATCTGTGAGTTTGAGATGTCCCTTGTTGTCTAGGAGGAGGTTGTCTGGCTTCACATCTCTATGAACTATACCATGGCTGAAAAATTAAGAACTAATTAATATAGTGTGTAGGTCTAAGACCTCTTGATCAACCGCTCAAAGTGAAAACAGAGAAAAATAAACGTATAGGAAATAGTATGGGAGGTCACTGTGTTCTCTTGCTGACAGAATGAGGCAAACATAATGAAAAATGAAAGCTGAAACTCATTTTTCTTTTCCCTCAACACATGGGTAAGTGATCAACTAATAAAAACAGTTAGAACAAATTCATTAAAGTCATATGACTGACTCAGCTTAGTTATGGTTTAGAGGTATTGAGTGAGAAGTAAAAAATTTCTTGTGATTTATCCTATTGTGAAGTACAATCCACTTAAATTGTTCCTAAAGATTACCATGTTTTTTTTATATCAACATTAAAATATCATCATCTTTACTTACACTATGTGTATCTGTATCCTTTCAGTCTAGCATTCCGAGACTGTTACTAGGCTGGATTTTAGCAGACTTGTAATACTTTCAGCATGACAAACCACAGTAAGGTTGAACATCCAGCCACTCCACACCTGAGTGGTGCAGCACTGGTACAACAACTACACTCCCTCTTTTTAACTGGTATGGCTACCCCATTCCTTTGCAATTTTTTTTTATATTTATCTTAGTGCTTTCAGAGGTTACTGCAGGCCTTTGCATGTTATGGCCAACACAAATATGAAGTAAAATATTTTGTTTAATACCGCTGTGAATACATTTAGAATATCTCTATACACAACTTACTCTAAATGGTTTACATGTGTTCAAGTTATTATATATTTATGCATATTTTCATTGTATTTCTAATACTTTACTATGGTTGTATGATGTTATATCATGGTTCCACAAATGAATCCTGGATGATTTGTAATTGAATTTGGCAACCAAAGCATTTATTATAGATCTCGGTAAATGTAATTACCAATTTTAAGTCTTTCCCACAAAAACCAGATAATGTACATAATACAAGAATCTAGGTATTTAATTAAATCAATATATTGGGATGAAGGGAGGTATGTGAGTCTTCAAATTAGAGTCAAGAATCTTTTCTTTATGCTGTCAAATACAATATTCAATTCTCATTAACTATGCAAGTAGTCAAGGGCTAAAGCTAACTCTGCAGCATAAAAAGTAGCCATCGGCTCATTCAAAATTAGCCATCTTATAGTCAGGAGGGTCTTTAAGTCTCCACCAATAGGATACTCCATCACCTGAAATGAAAAAACAACAAATAATTATATGTGCATTAAGTACACGTACAAGGTACAGTACTGATATACATTTCCTATTAGATCCTCATTTTCTATGATGCATAGTATTAAATGGGCATTGGAATCATAAATTATATATTTCTTAGGCAAAATAAACCTATGAAAAAGCTTTTATAATTAAATATTATTATTAATACAAGAACTGTATTAAAATTCTGGACTTAATTTAATATAGTGCATTTTTTAACACTGCAGCTGTTTCCCACCAAAGGCAAAGTGATCCAACAAAGAGAAGACACTTCACTGTCATTCACTCAATCACTGTCTTTACAGAAGGGAGCCGACATTACAGTTCAGATGCTCCTCCAAACTACAACGTCCCCCCCCATCTTACAGAGTACAGGTACTGTATTCCACCTCCTGGACTCAAGTCTGGCCAACTGGTTTCCCTGAATCCCCTTTATAAATGCTACCTTGCTCACACTCCCAAAAGCAAATCAAATCACTGTTGCCTTTCTAAAAATATGCACATCCAGAAGTTAACCCATCACCTTTTATTACTATCCCCAGTCCAACAAATTGTTGCCATCATGCCCTATATTGTATCTTGCATATTTATTATCCTTATTCTTAAAATACAACCTCTTTCAATACATAGCTCATTTAGAGGCCCTGTATCATTATTTACCCTTGGCACCCCAAACTTCCTTACTACACCCTACACAACAGTTTCTCCCATTTTAGCATGAAGGTATCTCATAACAGTTTTCTCACTTGGTTCAAAACTCCCTAAACACTCAACATCTCCCAAAATACCCCCCTCTTCTCTACACTCCTCTCTTACCTGGGTGCATAAATACACACTATAACCTCTTTTCATATCCCACCCTTATTTTAAGCTGCATAAGTCTTGAATTTATATACTTATATTCACTCATTTTCCTTACATAACTTATCATTTAATATTACCGCTATTCCTTCTCAAGCTCTAATTCTCTCAGATACACCTGACCTAATCTCATTTACAGCCTCCTCACTAAAATTCTTCTTGCCTCCTTAATCTGTTTTTCTTAGTTAGGGCATCCATCTTCTTTTCATTCATAACATTCACAATCAATTCTTTCTTCACATCCATGCAACACCAACACACATTCAAACAGCCCACCTTTAAAATGTTCTCCTTTGCCTTATAGTAATGCTTTGGTCTTAAGACCATGGTCACTCACTTGGAGTGACCAAGGTCCCAGAATCAAAATATTCCCATTAAACATGTCTTAAAGTGGTTGCATTTTGTGTCATTTTCCACATTTATCAGTATGATATACGTTCATATCGAGAGATTATTACATTTCAATTTATATTTATATTTATATTCAATTTATTTCAATTTATATTTATTTAATTCCCAGTAAAAGTAGGTCTTAGACAGGGATGTGTAATGTCACTATGGTTGTTTAATATACAGTGGACCCCCGGTTAACGATATTTTTTCACTCCAGAAGTATGTTCAGGTCCCAGTCGACCGAATTTGTTCCCATAAGAAAATTGTAATAGATTAGCCCATTTCAGCCCCCAAACTCCGAAAAATGCACTTACTAAATACACTTACAAAATTGGCACATTCGGGGGGAAACGTTATGGGGGTCACTGTTTTTAAGATGGGTTTTAAAAAAGAAGTAAATGCTGGGGTGTTCGGGAGAGGGGGGGGTTTAAAAATTATGGGGAATCAAAAAAAAGGGGAAATTTGACACACTTGCTTTTTGCTGATGATACTGTGCTTATGGGAGATTCTAAAGAAAAATTGAAAAGGTTAGGGATGAGTTTGGGAGTGTGTAAAAAGGGAAAAGTTGAAATGAACACAGAAAGAGTAAGGTAAAATGAGGGTATCAAATGTTTAGATAAAAAAAAATTGGGGATAAAAATTGGGAGGAGGAGTATGGAAGAATAAATGTTTTCAGATATTTGGGGAGTTAGGTTTTTGGTGGAGGGTTTTAAGGAGAGGTAATATAAATTGAAAGGGAAAAAAGGGGGAGTGGTGCGTTACGTATAGTGGAGAAAAAAAAATTATCCGGGACAAAAAAGGGAATGTATGAAAAGTACGTATACCAAAAATCTTACATGGGTGTGAAGCTTGGGTTGGGAATGCACAGCGAGGAGGCGGTTGGGGGCAGGGGAGATTCCTGTCAAAGGGCAATGTGGTGAAAAAATTTATGCATAAAATTGGGGAGTGGGGGAAATTGGGGAAAGAAGGGTGGCGTTAATAAAAGTTTAGTAAGGGGGCTGAAGGGGGGTTGTTGAGGGGGTTTTTGGGGTTTTATTTAGAGGAGAATGGATCAAAGTAAATGACAGGGACATATTTAAATCTGGGGGGGAAGGGAAAGGGTTTGGGGGTGGGGTCGCCCTCAAAAAGGTTGGAAGGGGAAGGGGAAGGGAGGTTTTGGGGGCAGGGGCTTGGACTTCCAGCAGGCGGCATGACGTGTTTGATAGGGTGAATTAGAAAAAGGGTATTTGGGACCTGACGATCTTTTGGAGTGGGCGGGAAAAATTTTTTTAGTAAAGGGATTGGGGGAAACCGGTTATTTTTATTAGCCGGACTTGATCCGGGAAATGGGAAGTACAATGCCGCACTCAAAGGGGGGGGGGTTTTAGAATAAGCAGTTTGGGGGGATATGTTGGGGTTCTTTATATATATGCTTCAAACGTTGTTTTGAGCACCTCTGAAAAAAACATGATTATGTGTGAGTGGGGTAAAGTGCTAAATGATGATGAAAGTATTTTTTTTTGGGATTTTCTTTTTTTTGGGGGTCACCCTGCCTGGGTGGGAGACGGCCATTTGCAAAAAAAAAAAAAAAAAAAAAAAAAAAAAAAAAAAAAAAAAAAAAAAATTTTCATGGGAAAATTTATTTTTTTAACTTTTGGGGTGTCGCAGGGGATTAATTTGTTTCCATTACAGGGGACCCCCGCATAATTTGGGCATGCTTTTGTTTTAAATCCGCATAGCGATACTTTTATCCAAAAAATTTTGTCCATGTGCTAAAAATTCGCTCAACCTCACTTTTTTTCTGCCAGGGCATTTTTACAAGCCAGCCTCCGCAGAAACTTCAACGTACAATGGAACATTTCGTATTATTACAGCCTTTTTATAGGATTTCCCCTGAAAAATAATGCCAGGGGCCCCAAGAAAGCTTCTGTGCCAACCCTACGGGAAAAGGGTGGAGTTACTATGGAGATGAAGAAAGAGATCATTGAAAGTATGAAAGGGGGTGCGTGTCCCCGAGCGGGCCCAGGTTTATGTAAACCCCAATAAACCATCGCTTCTATTGGTCCAGGGAAAACGGAATCAAGGAAGCTGTTTTTTGCCAAAAGGTTTTAACTTGCTTTCGAAACAGAGATCCAAGTGATAGAAATGCTGAGGGACTGTTATTGGTGGGGAAATAAACAAAAAAACGATAGGGGGATGATCTCTAAAAATCATAAGTAAAAGGCTGGGAAATTTGCACGAGGTTTAATTAAAAAAAATTCCCTGCAACTAGTGGTGAGCAGTGTTTTTGGGCCCAGCAAGGGGGGTTTGAGGATTTAAGGGGCGTAGTGGCATACATATGTGATAAGGCATGGTGAGGCTCCCATTTGGCCCAAAAAAAAAGCAGCTGAAAAAATATGTGCATAAATTCAAGGAGTACTTTGACGTGAAGGACTAAAACCCTGAAAAAGGGTTTTTGGAACGAAAAGGCCTGTTTTGGAAGAAAATGCCAAGCGGCCTCTTTACTCAGGGGAAAAGGCACCCCCGGGACAAAAACCCCGAAAGACATTACTTTTCATGGTCCCAAATGCTAGTGGTGATTGAAAAGTGAAGCCTTTTTTATGATCACTCTAAACTCCCAGAGCGTTCAGGCAAAGAATATCCTCAAGGCAAATTTTTGGGGGGTTGCGTGGAGGGAAAACAATAAGGCAGGGGGTCATAGGGACTTTTTCTATGATGGTTACACCAAGCTTTGCCCCCATGTGAAAATTACCTAACTGAAAAAAAAATTAGACCTTAAGTCCTCCGGTGTTAGACAATGCCCCTGGTCCCTACGACTTGGCAGAGTGATTTTGTGGGGAAGGGGTTTCATTAAAGGTAAGTTTTTGCCTCCAAATTACCATTTTCCCTGCGCCATGGACAGCAGGTTATTCCCAATTTCAAAAAAACTTTCCAAAAGCTCTGTTTAAAGGTGCTTTGTAGTCCCCTCAAAATCAATTGATCAAGAGAGTTTTGGAGGGGCATTTTAAATATCCTCAATTGTGAAAACCCTTATAGGAAAGGTTGGGAGGGAGTGACTAAGGGACCAAACTCTCTTGGAAGAACGGGGGCCAAATGTGTCCCAAAGGGATTTTAAAAGATTTGAGGTACCCTGAGAATCCTATGCCATTTGGGGAATAAAATTGTGGCAGGGGAAGTCCTTGGGGTTGGAGGTTTAGGGGGGAGGATGGGAAGATTTGGTGGAGGGGGAAATGAAAAAAAAACCACTGATGAGCTCTGATCAATTCACGCAAGGGGCCACACTGAGGAAATTGCTTGGGGGGGGGAAAGAGAGAAATTGAAGAAGTTCCCTACTTCAAAGTTTAAAGGAAATCTGGCAAATGGTTTGAAGTGCAAACCTTCAGGGAAAAAATACCTCGACGCTATTGAAAGCCGTGCTGGTGACTATTCCCTGACCTTGTGCCTTAAAAAAGCAAAAAAGGAACGAGAGGTACAGGCCACTAGGGCAGATATGTTTGCGCAGAACCCTGACTCTGAAGCGGTCCTGGTCTTTAAAAAGAGAAGGGAAGCCCCCCCCAAAAAAAGGATTGAACCTAAACCCCTAATGGAGGGGTTTTCCCCTTCTAAACAAAAAAACATCCAGTTTTCCCCTCCCCCCATC